TTTTTTTTTTTTTTTTTTTTTTTTTTTTGTTATTAATGCTGTCGATATTTTCTGTTCTGAGACGGACATCGCTAACAATCCATATCCATCCCCTCTGTCTCGTTGCGTCAATTAACACGTCGGTAGATCCGCGATCCTGCCTTCTTTCGAAACGCGGCGAAACGTGGCATTAATTAATTTGAAGCGTCGAACAAAATTATGAACGGGGCTACGAATAATACTTTGCTTCGCTTTTTCTCCTCGTTCATTCGTCGGGCGTGGATCCATCATCCCCTTTTTTTCGAAAAATTCCTCTTCTCGATTCCTCGTCTCTCTTTCTCTTTCTCTCTCGTGAAATTTTCTTAGAAATATGCCAGGACCGATCCTTGCAGTTGCAATTCTCTAAATATAACGAGCAGTAAGTTACAAGTGATGATATAAACTTTAAACTGTTTACTTTGTCCAAGATCCAAATAGATAGTAAATCAGGAATATCGTAAACAGGAAGCGTTTCTATCCTCCATAAAAGTGAAATAAAAGAGAAAATTACATTATAAAATCGTGTATTCTGATTATACGAATTCGTTCATGCTGCAAATAAAAATTATTGTAATATGTTAAATGTTGAACGAAACAAGTTGATTCGCGATCTTTCTTTCTTTCATATAAATTCGATGTTTTACAAAAAGCAAATTATGATTTAATCCTCCTCTGATTGCTTCCTAGGCGATATCTTTGTTAAAAATAAGACAAAATTGCTTGCTGTTATTAACCTTTTTACCATATTTTTCACAGGAATACGCTATTTTACGAAATAAACGCTTATCGATATATAATTTTAAAGTAATTTTTAAATTAGCCTCGAGGACAAGTATACTCCCTTTCTACGCGATTTACATAATACGCAGTCATCTCGCACGATTTCGTACACGTTTCCTTTCTCTCTCCTACTTAAAATTCGGTCATTAATCGCCCTTTATGCTCCCTTCGTCGTACAAAATCGATTTCACGGTGTTCGATCGATCGATCGAATATTTTTTCCTCTCCTTCGCCTTCCTCTTTCAAGCGTTCGTTTGTATCCTCTTTAGCCGCAGCTGTTCTCATACAGGTGATCGACCGTTTGTTTGCATTCCTTGGTCGGACGGAGTCTCATGCTTATCACGCGTTTCCTCGCCCCCTCCACAAAGCAAGCAAGAAAGAAAGGAGAGAGAAGGCTCATCCTGCACGCGCGAGTTCACATTCCGCCTTCGTGATCGCGCGACTAATTTGCTTTCCATGGATATGATTAACCGGCGGAATTCTCCACGTCCATTCTCGATGTGCAAAGCAATAACCCATTGCTGTTTGCAGTTTTGCTGTTTCGGATTCGGAGGCATCGATGCGCGGCGTTGAATTTTTTAACCGTACCAGAACCGATAAAATTTTCAAACCGAATAATATCCGACAGACCTATACCGGCGGCATAACGGTGGATCGATAATAAAAGCCTTGCATCATTGATGACGGAATCCCGACGATATTTCCATTAGCCCCCCGTCCAGCACCGTTGTCAACTGTCCACGGCCACTCTTGTATTTGTAATTTGAAAGATGAATAATTTTGCACTTGTTGTTATTGTAGGATTTGTCTTTAACGCTGTAAAGTATTTTATTGCGTTTAATTTGTTTGTTTTCGTGATGTACGTTTAAAAGTGAATAGTACGTTTTGTTTGAAATTTAATTGGATTAAAATAAAAAAGACGTAGAGAAAGAAACGATTGCTAATCCTATTTCGAACAAGATAATAGATCGTAGATGAATAATTAGTAACGAGTTCGTATATATATTTAATTTATGAAGAATAAATTTAATTTATTAATATAAGGTTTATCCTCGAACGATTATTATTCGGATGCAAACAATCAATCAATTTCAAATAAGATCGTGAAGGAATAATTTTTTCGTGAAGGATAAATTTAATTATAAAACGCATAAACGATTTCAAACAAGATGCTGTGTAATCATCTTTTAGATCAATGTTCCATAAAACGATGTGCTTGTTTTTTCTTTCTTTCTTCCTTTCTTTTTTTTATTATTTTAACCGCGTATTAAACCGTAATTATCGCGATATATACGCAACACGGCCGCGTGGTTTCCCCGTAATAGCTGGATACAGAGATCTTCTATTTTCGCTGCGTCGTCTAATTGTTACGAGCGGGTAACATGCGAACATGCGCGGCTTCCAACCGGTGGTGGGCCGAAAATAACGCGACGACCAACCACGACGTAAGAGGTGAGCGAGGAAAACTGGTGAGAAAGTTCCGCTTGTCGCGTGAAAACTCGACTCCGCGACCCGATTCCGCGGCCAATTTTGCTTCATTCATTGCCGCTAATCGAGTCGATTGTAAAAAAAAAACAAAAAGAAAAAATCAACGATATAAATATTTTTTTTTACAGATTCCTTGCGAAAACTTTTATTATTCTTAGAGTAAAATTTTTTTTTTTTTTTCCACCTCGACGCGTTACGAATATAAAAATTCGGTAAATGAGATATAAAAGGATCGAGCATCCGCTTTTAAAATCGCGCACGATCAAGGGAAAAAGAGGACTGGATGGCCTTTACGATAATAACACTATAATTTCGCGACCCGACACTAATGTAACTTGGTGCGAATGCTCAGCCGGAACGAATTAATAATGCTTTGACTTTGGTCACAATGCGATGCATACATTACCGCGCAACGTGTGTCACGCCGTACAAACGGATACGTTTGCGGCCTGATTTATGCCCGTCGTAATTGAACACCGCGCTAATTGAATCGGGTCGCTTTTTGTCGCCGGAAATTCGTCGTGGTACCGTTGGCCGAGAAACGTTCGCGTTATAAAACGTGAAAAATAACGCTCCTCTCTCGAAATTGCGCGTGAAAAGATATAGAATAGAATTTTGTTGCACAAGTGTCTCCCATAGATGTCTCCCTGAATCGCTGCCTTCCGAATTCCCTTCCTTTGGACTTTCGACAATAACCCGACAACGATAAATCAAGCTTCTCCAAAAAAAAATTCCTTTCACGCGCAAGTATTATAAACGCCTTGGCTATACTCTCTTTCCGAAGTCTCGAGCAAGGCGAGCAACCCGTATCCTCTCGTACGATTGCTTCTAACCAATTAACTTATCACCAGACCATCGACAGACCTGCTTAAACCTTAATAGACCCTCCTCCTCCTCCTCCTCCTGCTTCTCGTTCCCTTAATAACGGATCATAATCCGTCCGAGGATCGGATAGGAGATGTCGTCCTCTCGTCGTACGAATGACCCTGATGTTTCTGTTTCCAGAGCCGCATTAGGCCGCGTGTGCATGAAGCTGGTGGTCGTGATGGGCGTCACCTGGGTGGCCGACGTCGTCTCGTGGGCGGTCGGTGGCCCTCAATACATCTGGTACTTCACCGACATGATAAACGCGTTCCAGGGAGTGCTAATCTTCGCGGTGGTTGGCTGCCAGCCCCAGGTCCGCGCCGCGTTGAAGAGGATCTGCAACAGGAACCCGAGGACGAACGCTGGAAGGCAGGGAAACGGGCTGAGCACTACCAGTCACGGGATGCCCAGCATGGGCGACAGCGTGATTCAGAATCCGAGCACGAAGACCGCCCCGCTGGAAACCATCTGCTAAGCGACTTCCTCCGACCGGTGCGGCGTTCACCTCCGCGCTTCGGAGATCGTCGCTCCGCCATCGTCCACGTTTATCCACGAACGCGGAATTTCGGTGGACGGGAAGCGGAGCCTGCTCGAAACACGTTGAACAGACGCGGAAGTCGATCGAGCGGAAGAACATTGTATACGAAGCGATCATACGTGCGAAACGTCCAACCATTGATAGATCGGTACCAAGAAGCGGAATTAATTAGATTCGGATTAAAGTCGTCGCGATGTGAAACGATACAGAGGAGGATCGTCCTCGATTGATTTACTTGAGTATCGACCAAAAGAAAACGCTGGTTTCCCCTTCTATTAAATATTAAATAATTTCCAATTACGTTGGGTGAACGTAACGCGTTACAGATATTATGTTATATTTGAAGAGAAAAGAAAAGGGTTGATATCCGCTGTGAAAGAAGTGAAAAGCAGCGTTGAGGCGCATAACCGCGTAAGGACGATTTCCTCCTTAAGGTCACTTCGAAAGGGGACAGAAGTTCGTGTTAAAGGTTCGACGACCTCGAGACCTTGAACTTGAAACAACCTCGGCTTCCTCGATCCCCTCGACCGCTTCTCGACACGACGACACCCGTTCCACGAGGATCGTCTGGCCGCGAAGTAGGCCCTGGTTCCATTCGCGTTCCCAAACTTCTTTTCTCTTCTCTTCTCTTCTCTTCTTTCCTCTTCGAGGTCGTCAACCTCGGCGATACACGATCGCGAAGAAGCACGCGTGTGACGTCGGCCGCGGTCGGCCGCACGGTGTGTGTCCCCCATGGGCTAGGTGGAAAGCGGCCATAACGCGCGAGCACTGTCACTCTGAATAGTTCATTGTCGCGACAGGGAGCAGCACAATGGAGAGCGGAGAAAACAACGCGACAAATATTCATAGAGAAGACCCGTCCCGGTTCGAGTTACCTCTCGAGGGAGAACCACGTTCCTCGCTACTTACGCCCCCACCTTTCGCTCGCGTCAGATCCTGCCCAGATGTCGTCGCAATTTGTAGTTTGAATCAATCTTCTCTGGATTTTGCCTTCTCGTTACAATGAGCGAATGACTCTGACTGACGCGAGAGTCCGTTGTCCACGGTAATTCTAAGACTTTTCACATTGTTATCGTCCGATTAAAAAATGAAATGTTGGTCGCGACTGTGTTGGTCGATATTAATATTCATTTGTATTCGTTCATTTTTTTTTTTTTCTTATCATTCGCGCGATGTGGAAACGAGTGTACGAATGTAACGCATGTCTCCTTATTTTATCGATTGAAAAATATCGAGCGCAGATATAGAATCGTTCATCGCCATTGATAATCGGCCAATATTCATTTTTAATCGAAAAAAAAAAAAAAGAGAGAGAGAGAGTTCAAAAAGGAGGCTGTAAATTGAAATGCGAAACGAGAACGATTTATCATAGATTACACAATGATTTATCACGTGTTACGATCAACCGATTACTTCGATTACGTGCAGATGAACGAAGTTAACGAGATGATGTGTGGCCGATACGAGACGCGCTGTTTCGATATTAATAAGTGGCGCCAGGCAAGTGCAACGAGATCGACCGCGATTACGGTCGATAATTTTTGTTCCCCTCGCGACAATAAGGGATCATCGATATTAATATATCTCGAGATCGAAAGGAGTCTCTCGTCAGTTCGCTTTGGTTTTACGCGACGACTCGATGGCACTTTCGCGCCATGGCCTGTTTCAATTTCCGCGATTCGCAGAGGTGTAACGTGGATGATTTTAGAAAAATTTAACACGATGAACAATCGAGAGAAAATTTCGACTCGCTCGATCGTGAAATTGAACGTGGATGGCCTTGACCCGTGTTTGCAACCACGGTGTGTCGAGAAAGGACGAACGATGAATTCCGTACTTTCTTCTAAGGCTCGCCCCGCTTCGTTATTCATCGAGCGTGCCTGGAGCCACGAGCGATCGCTCTTCAATTTCCTTTAGCATAAATTTGCATTGGCACCGTGGCCCGTTACCATCGTAGCTACCTATTTAACGCGTTGAATTCGAAGTCTCGTAACGTCGTTCATTTCGGTCGCACGTCATTTTCTCTAATTAAACTCTTCCTAAATTGTTTTATTTCTTTTTTTATATCCAGAGACATTCTCAGATTTACTCTCGTCCATCTGTACAGTTTGTAATCCTCCTTTGGATCTCGGCAACGGACTGTGAAAGAATTTATTATGAAAGGGACTCGAAGGAAAGTATTCTCACTGCCACAGAATTCAAATTTCAACGAGAAGACTCGAAGCAACGGATTTTTTTTCAAATCGAGTTGCGGAAAATTTTGATAAACGTTTACACTACGCTACGTCGATTGTAAGCACAACGAACATGTTCGTTCGTTTCGCTTAGAAAAAACGATATATATTCTTTTTTTATACTTTGATACATGAACATGATTTTATATAGATGATACTTATACGGGGATAGGGATCGAGTTGAAAAAGAGTTGAAGAAATTAATCGATTAAATTTGAATGATCGCCAATGAGGATTCCTTTTTTTTTTTTTTTTTTTTTAAACGGATTAGTCACGCTTTCACGAAGTCAAACGTAGGTAGGTCAGGGCATAATGGACGACAACTCGTGACAATACACATTAGGAATTCAATGCCTTCTGAAATGCCTTCCAAACATGGTGTTCAACGTGCCGAATTGTATACAATGGAGAAACAAGCGGAGACCGTACGAAGTCCTTCTCGGTTCTCCTCTCATCGCGTGTACAACGCGAGATTGCTATTTCTCCACGCGATTTCCGGCGTAACTTCCGATGACATTCCTCCACAGATTCATTCAACTTGTGATCATGAATTAATTAATTACGCTTGCTATTCTATACGAAGAAGCGAAGCATCGATAACGATAGAACTTCATTTATATGAATCTGGTAAATTCATATAATATAATAATCTATCCATTATTTATATTATTCTTAAGTTTTTATTCAAATATTTAGTTCTTTAAGTTCTAGCTTATCTCTTCGAATTATACATATAGTTGTACATTAGTCCATCTTATTTTATTGATCAATGTATAATCCATTTTCCTTTTTTAATCTTTTCCAGAACACCAATATATATTCTTTTGCGTTGTTACTTTGGTTTTCGAAAAGCAATACGAATGTCATGGGAAATCGCCGGGTGCGATAGAACGCACCGCATAAAAACCGTCTCACGTAGAGTTAGGTACCTCGCACTCGAGTTTGCTATTCTTTAGACCGCACGTTCGCGTAGTTTCTCAACACGTGAACGAGAGTAGAGTAATCATCGTCATTGTTTCTTCAGGTGCATTCAAGAGACTGAGCCATGTACCCTTCGCTCACGTTAAACCGAAACTATCCGAACTCTCCGCGAAGATACTCGACAATGTTTTCCAAATACGAACTTACTTCTGAATCGGTAGTATCAAATCCTACGTATAACACTCCCTGCCTTCGTTTCCCCAGATAATAATTAATCTAAAATAATCTTTTCGTTTCGTGCACTTCGTTGCTTTGTCCTCAAACCCGTACGATGGATCTTGAAACGCAGAAGGGACGGATAGTTTCTCTAAAATCATATTCAGTTCCTTTTCTCGTTGTATGGATGGGGGAGTGGAACGCCAAGTTGTCGAAGTTTCGAACTTTTTCGATTAATGGGAGAAATGGGAGATGGTACGATACCTCGTCAACATTCGCGTCCACGTAGCGTGCGTGTCGTGCATGCGTGCACATATCGAATAATTGCGTGTCAATGCGAGCGTGTGAACGGCACAGTGTAATTAGCGCATTAACGAGCATTAACTTTGTTATAAATCCCTTGCTGTGTATAATCGCTGATGGCGGGCGTAACGAGCCGACGACGACAATTGTAAAATTTCCATTCTGTCCAATAATGTATCGTCGCAAGAACGAACTAGGCCGTCGTGTTATTTCGCGTTATATCTGAATCGATTCAACGAACGTTCAAAGATCAATTGCATAGAGAATTCTCGGCCAATCGACGATTGCTGTCGTCGTCAAACGCTGTTACGCTGTCTTTCGGTTGCCTGCCCCATTGCATCTCCTCGTGTAGATAACATTTCTCCCGTCATTATGTTAAAATGTTAATTATAAGTAAGTAGAGTAGACACGTATATTAAGTTATTATTCGTATCCGTCGCGTAAGACCGAAGAAAAGAAAAATATATGCGAGCAATTATTATGAAAATCGCGTTCTACGTAAGCCATGATCGTAAGACGGATTTCGATGTACATTAATTCAACATTCAACGTACGATATTCGATGATAGTTCGTTACGTAGTTAAGATAATATACGAGATAAGAGGAACAACGTAGCCTTAAAATTAATTTATTCGGAGTAGTCATTGTTGGCGTATGAACAATAAGAGGAACGTATAATATATATAGTATACACATACATAAATACACGTAAAGAACGTATATATGTATATATATATATATACGGTATACGGTAGCTTGCCAGTATAGAGAGGTAGAATTAAGAAGAGAACACGTGAATCACGACGAGGGCACGAAAGGAGAACGTCGAAAAGAGATAACGACCGTTGCGATCGTTACGGGAGAAAATCCTCGCGATCAAGTGGAGAGAGAGACGCTTATTGAGGACCGCGTGCCTTCGCGTAATTTACGTGCGTGCATTCGCAGCGCGGAAAATCCAATGTTGAATTTAACATCGAGGACGTTCCAAGTCGCGGTGAAACGCATTCGGTATGCGCAATCGTGACCAGTTGAATATATTGGAAAGTCTTTGAAATTTTTTTATCGATAAAAGATGTTGAATGGAATTGAAAAAAAAAAAAAGAAAAAAGAAAAAAAAATGCGTTGTTGATTATAATACTTGATTCAATACTCGACTCGATATTGGATTCTTGGCGAGGCGAATGATTTCGTAAATTTGGCCAAAATAGTTCGTCACTTTTTGTATATTTTTTACCGCGATGTAGGGAGAAAGAGCAGCGAAAAGAATTGTTTTTATCGTATCGAAACTGTTACATCGGGTGGAAAGGTTGATTCTTTGGAGGCTATTATCGAGAGACAATAGTATTAACTCGTCGAGAGTATTAGAGACGAGTTTGTGGCGAGCTCGTCTTGGCTCGATTAGAGAACCGTGTAGAGAGAACAGCCGGATTACCATGGTAGAGAAATTTATGATTACAACGACCCTGTACTACGGCCAATCGTACACCATTCCTGTACAATGTATCGTAACAGTATTTACTATCGCACTAATGGTAATAAATGATAACTGTTAGTACACTTTCTGTTTCCATTTCGAATTTTTTCGATTTATTATCCAATAATCCTAACCCTGTTCATATACATTAGAAAAGTTTT